TTAGCTTAAAACAACTAGCATCGTGCAAGTGCGTGTCATTTGATCATTGGGGACCATGGGTCGCGCTTCAGGTTGGCAATTTGGAAAGGATGCCTGAGATGATCACTGAAGCCGGCGAAGCTGGTACATCATTCCAGCAGTTTCTAACTGCATACAAGATTAAGTAGATCTTGAAAGGGGGCATCAAGGATTGGTATGATGCGTTGATCAATGCATCTTAGGAACCAGTCCGTAGATGCACGCTGCACGGCACACCAAACCGTGTAGTTTTGAGGCATTGTCCTGAGCAATGTGGTTGTGGTGATTCCAGACCTGATCGACCATCGATCCATAGTGTTTTGGGTTTCTTTCGGTATCAACCCGTCATCCGGCCTAGCTACAGCCTGATTAGTGGTCTGTCAAAATATGAATTATTGTTTTCTTTTTTGAGTGCCAACATCCACTGGGAGCCAGGACTTGGGGATGATTTAAACTGCGCAATGTTGACCAGCTCAGGGTGAAAAGAAACATCATGTATGGGCTTATCCACTAGATCTTGAAATGCAGATTGTTTCATGTGGACGTTCCTTGTGAACATGTGTGTGTGTGTGTTGAAGGTCACTAGCTAGTTGGGAATGCAATAAACCACAAGGAACCTCAAACGACTTCGCTTCACTGCGCAGATCGTACTGTGGCAAGAGCATTGGAAGGGCACTACGATGATGTTGCTTCGGGTGTCCGTTGGCGAACAGAAAGTGTCGGAGTCGACTGGTGTTGAGATCATGCCCAAGAACAATTTCAACAAATGACAGGTCAGGCAACAATGCCCACCCATCCCACCCAACAGTCCAACCCATCTTCAATCCCAAACACTGCCAAGGCATCCTCTGTGAAGCGAGTGATGCGCCGCATTCGAGATCATGTTGCAGATCCTGGGAGCTGAGATCAGGGGGGCGGCTGTGTTCATGGTGTGGGATGCTTTTTGGTTTGGCCTCCCAGCCCCCAAGCTTGTACATTAACTGGATCGATCTCAACTGAGATTTGAGGTTTTTGGGACACCAAACTGGCTTATTCTCGAGATAGCTAATGATGGGAACAACTGCTGATCACTAAGGAAAGCGGATCAGCAGTTCATCCAGACACACTCACACTGGGTACAAGATCTGGAAAAAATGATGTACGTGATTTCTGGCGTTTTGCAGACATCCCGGTTGTTACTTGGCGTTTGTTTTTGGAAAGCTTTTCGGAGTACTAGGACTAGGAGGTACTTGCAAATGATTAAATTCAAGGCAAAAAATCACTTTGATTCAGGAAATCGAGACTATCCGGCTCCCAGTGTTCGATAAGAAGGTGGCTCGTAAGTCCAAAGTGGAGGAGTTCCCCATTATTCATCCCCACCGGATCTTGACCTACCTTTTTGATGAGGTAGGTTTGGAGATGTCTCGCGCTGGTGTGAATTCATATTGGGATCATTGTCGTGGGATGCGCGAGCCTTGGGCATGCGCTTCTTCTGCATCGCGTGACCACATGCCTATTGGCATCCACGGTGACGGTGCTCGTCTATGGACACAAGTCCGTGTTGAAAAAGTCGTAGGTGTCTTCCTGAACTTGCCACTCTTCCGGCCAAGGAGTGTCCGCCACTCGAGGTGGCTTCTGTTTTCAATTGCGCGTGACAAACTGATTAAGAATCGAACCATGAACGTGGTCTGGAAACGCCTTGTCTGGAGTCTGAACTGTGCATTCAACGGTATCAATCCCACCACATCGCCAGGTGGAGGTCCACTTACAGGTCTTGACTTTGACCGTGCAGGTCTGCCTTTGTGCCGCTCACATTGGAAATTTGCAGTCACCGAGTTGCGCGGTGACTGGGAATTTCACCGCGACACCTGGAGGTTCACTGCCTCGTGGCAAAGTCAACTAGTCTGTTTTCGCTGCACGGCTGTCACCAGAGGTGACCACGCGCGTGTATACTACAACAACAGCCCCACCAGTGTTTGGATCCACGAAGAGTTTGGCCTAGAGCAGTTCATTGCACGACGGCTCAAAGAGAACCAATTGCGAACCTTGTGCAAATTCGGTACTTTGTTATATTGTTTGTTGATCCAATCACTCCACCCATCAAAAAGCATGTGAAGTCTGTTTTTAAACCGCTTGCCATTTTTACAGTCAACACATGGACTTCAAACTCAGGCCCACTGCTGACACTGGAAGGATTTCACCCAGGAGTCATTAGGTTTTGCTCAATGCATGCTCTGAACTTGGGCCTTTTGTACGCATGCAACGCCGGCGCTCTGTAGCTTGCCCAATCATGCAGCAAAGTGTCAACTGTTTCCAAAGTTGCATTTGGTGGCAAAGGCTGCAATCTCCCAGTCTCCCAGTGTTCGGACACGTCCTGTTCACATGACTTGGCCAAGGCTTTTGCTCTGTGAGGACTTTCAGTATTATGGTGCTGGGACCTTTGCTGAGCAATTGGATGTAGCCTACCGGGACTTTGTAGGGCTTTGCCGCGCCAGAAGGATCAAGCACTCACAACCTCCGTTTCTGCCCCGTATGGTTACCTAGCTTGCCAAAGGTGGTTTTTTGGGTCCTTGGCTTGTGCAGCCTCTTGGCCAGCTTCCTTCACCCCTGCTGGCCTCAGGTTAAGAAGAAAGATGGCACCGAGCTGCTCACCGCAAAAGCTTTCAACGGACGATTGATTTTGAGTTGGTTGAGTCATACCCTGCTGGTGGTGCTTCAGCAACACCCGGATCATGAACTTCTCATACTGACCAGTGCAGCAATGACTCTTGGTGTGTGTGTGTGTGTTTTCTTTTGGGGGGTTGGGTATGAAGGAATCTTGTATCTTTCATCAATCTCGATGAGAAAACCTGCTTTCGTTGATTCTGGACATGTCCTTCGTAGCTACCTCAAACCTGCCGATCTAGCATGTTCGGTCATGTCATGTTCCGACATGTTCCGACACACTCCCCAGATTAAAGTGTTAAGCCTTTTTCGACAGAATCGGTAGTATTTAAATCCCAGCTAGCAATCGAGAATCAAAAACGTCCACATCCTTGGTTCATCTTCCGGTATGCCCAGTCCCCAGAGCTGTCGTCCTCATGAGGAGTGCTATGGCCAACTTCTTCAGAATCAGCGAATACCATGGACGCTTTTTGCTCTCTGGCCACAATGTGGATGGATTGTTGGGCCATGTAAGTTTAAACCTTTCGGGTGAAGTCTTTTGGATTCAAGAGTTAAGCTAGATCGAATATATCGACATTGTATTTCTAGAAATTAATAAGACCATGCTCATGAACCACCACTCAAATCACACACTAGATTGGAGTACTTTTTCCAGTTGCATGAAGTTCAAGAGACTAGTCCCTGTCTAGCCCCAAGCTGCGCAAGGCCGGAAAGCGGAGCCCGAGAACTTCACGATGCTGGTATGCGCTATCTGGACCTCCACTCAATATTATGTGCAGAATACATCAGGCTGGGCAGTGTCGGGAAGAGGTCAAGTGTTGCAGGTTCCAGTTTGCATGTATGTCGATCAATCAATCAATCAATCAATCCTCAATTATTCTTCCAGGTTGGGAAAGAGCCGGTGGCTGATGAAGCCCAAGCATCATGCGACTTGGCTGGTGCTCCCTACCGTCCCTACCTGTGAATTTTGCAGTGCCTGGTGCATTGTGTTCTTTTGCGTGTGCAGTGGTCTAACTTGGTCTAGCCTAGCGCGCGCTAGGTCATGGCCCACCTGTGCAAAGATGCGCTTCGGTACAGTTCCTGGGCACATGAACTTGCTAAGCTTAAGTGTTTCTGCCTGTGTGCTGGCCAAGCATGTACTGCATCTGTTGTTGAGCACAGTGTTGCGCCGAGGGACAAACCATCGCTATATGCATACTTTTGTGGATGAAGACGCCATGCGTTGGCTCAAAAGCTTCTTGCCTATCTAGTGTGGGTGCTTGTGAAAGGTGATGTCCTAGAGTGGGTTCTTGTGTGAAGGTGATGCATTTCTCTTTGTTGGCTGAGGCATAGCAGCCAAATCCCATCCCAAGCATCGACACATGTGGCTCCTCAAGTGCACCAAACTCAGGCCCTGAACAGTGCTCAATTTGTGTGCAGTCGTCTATGAACTTCACATATCTTCACATCACTTTGTGAGAGGCTTCGCACTATGAAGCATTGCGTGGAACGGAGGAAGACCCTGGCTTTAATCATGGCCTGACATAAACTGTGTATGTTTGTTGGCCTTGGTGCTTTGTAAGCTCTTTAAGACTTTGCCCTTTCTGTGCCGTGTTAAGGACCCGGGTCGAAAGACGTTGAGAACCACTATTCGCTGTGGTATGGTGCTATTTCGATGTGTGGCGCTAGTGGAAAATGGCTGTGATTGAGTGTGTGTGGGCCTGTTGTGGGAACATGACAGAACATGACAGTACGGCATGTTTGAGGTAGCAAATTGCATCCTTCTCTGAAAGGACGTTTCCAATTCTGTGGAAACCGGCTTTCTATAAAACACTGTTTTAAAAACCGCTTTAGGAAAGCTAGGGTATATATATATTATATAGTATATATTGTTTCTTTACACCTTTGACTTGAAGACTGGTTGGAATCTTTGACCTCGACCCAATGTGAACTCATGTCAACTCCACGACGCATCGAGGGGTCTAAAGTGGTCTAAAGGTCGCTAGGGTGGAAGATTGGAAGATCACCACCTTCAATGCTCTCAGCCACCCCAACCTGTGTGGGTCATAGAACCCATGTGTGGGCTATCCAAAGAACCCTCAGAACTAACTGAACACAATGGCCTTTGGAAGTGGATGTACATGGCCAAATGGGAAGAGATATCTTCCTCGACCAAGAGGTGGCTACCAGGAGCAAGGACGTTATTAGGGGCCGTTATTAGGGGCTCCTGGCCGTACTACTAGGAGCAAGAAGCTACAAGGAGCGATCGGACGCTATTAGGGACTGCACTTCGATGTGGCTTCGTCGGAGTGAACCTCCGGTGCTGGAAAAGCGCAGCGGTGCTCTTGACGAACACCTAGGCGGTGCTCTACGTCATCGCTGGATTTATGACGATCTCCATTGGTCAGGATCCCATCACGCAGCAGATTGGATTGGATCGTGGCTTGCCATGTTTGCTGAAGAACACGGCAGGAAGAAAAATGACACATATGGCTGTGGCCGGTCCAAAACCGCTATAATTGGTGAAGACGTTTGATTTCCCTTGGTTCTTTCATCGAACAGTTCAAGTTTAGGATCAGCAACACCAATGCAAAAACTATTACTGTAACTATAAGTAACATGTTCTCTTAATACTGCAATCGATTGTTTTTGTTGCACGCATTATCTTTAATGAATATGTAGTAGTTAATATTCTATAACTCAGCACCTGCAAGATAATTTTTTCGTTGGGCCAAATAAATGCGAGCATTTGGGCCGGTTGGTGGTTCAGTGGCTGGAGGCAGTCTCGTTTGCAAGTCCATGGAATATGCTCCGTCATGTTCTTTTGCGTCGCTTTGCCATGAGAAAACCACACCATCAAGTCCGTGGCTCCGCCAGCATGATCCTTGGTTTTCAGCGGTTTTCAGGCTATTTTGACACGATCCCTGCCACCATGTTCACAGCCTTTCGCTGCTTCAACGGTGAATGTGCGGCATAGCGGCACTAGATCACCCGGAATGTTGGACTGATGACTGCTTTGTGGAAGGGGCAGGTAGCAGGCACAAAGATGGATAGCAAGAGGTGAAGCACCCGTCAGTTTGCAAATCCCACTTGACTAGCCCACAACAGTGTCACCTGGCGAGTTTCGTGTCACCTGTGACTCCTCCCCACTCGCCGAAGCCTGGCTGTGACCCCGCCCAGGTCACTGAGCATGGCCATGCGATTCCATTCATGTTGTCCGAGAGATTTGGCCTACCCTTCCAGCTGGCCTATGTGGCCAGTTACATGTTGGTGACCATGGGACGCTCGGCGAAACTCTCGACCCACCCAGGTCACGGGCGAGCAAAACGGCTCGGTCGATCGGGCGAAGGACCATGGCCGGAACGTCCCGGATCAAAGAAACGAAGAAACCTCGAGCAACTACTAGGTTTCTCTCAACTGCACCAAGGCATACCAAGGCAACAACATTACCACAACATTGGTAAGGGTCTAGTAACAACCACAACCCAACCACAGCAAGCACAACAACCACAATCAATATCAACCATTATGTCCGAGTGTGCAATACCCTCAATCCACAGCAAGCAACCAACAATCAACCACATTCACAACAACACAGCAATTATCAGCGAATGCGGTAACGATAACAATCACGATAATGAGGAAGTTAAGCTCTATGGTTGGGTTGCATAGTTTTCCTTAAGCTTTGTGCCCGAGGAATTTTCAATGTGATTTTGGCAGTCTATGCGCCTTGTTCTGCACTTTGGTTGGCCAATAACACAGTGAGTCCCTGGATTGTACATTTTCGCAGCCGCACTTGGCATGCAGTGGCATTGAAGAGGCAAGCACTCCAATGTCAGGAGCTTCTTGGAAGGGTTCCTCCAAAAGATTTCAGGCTTCTTGAAAGCTGTCGAGCTCATACTGCTTAGAATGCATCCCTTTAGAGTTTGGGTTCGGCCGTGAGGCTATTTGCGCCCCCTGCACAGCCAAAAGAAAGTGAAGAAGGTTTTAAACCTTGAGACTCCACCTGGCATGTTGTGTAATTTATCGACGTTTTTTTTACACTTGGGAGTTCTTTCAGCAGTTGGGCAACAGTCGCACAAGCAGAATCACGTCAGCAGGGTGCATGATGCATTACAGTAAGATATTTTTGTTAGGAGCTTTTCAAATGCAATAAAGAATCCACGATCATTCGCAACCTGTAACTATTATTGTGATCATACATTCAAGAGCGACACCTATTGGAGTATCACACTCCTTTGCCTTTGGCGTTTTTTATGCGATGGAAAACCACTGCAGGTTGATATCACGATGAGAGCGGCCAAGGAGAATGATGTGCAAACAGCCGAAGTCCCCTAGATGCAAAAAGCTGAGCGGCTAGGGTAGCCAATGAAATGATGAAATTGCTCCATGATGATCACTGGTGCTTATTGCCATGCAAATGCTGCCAAGCTTATATAGACTAAAATATGGAACTAGCAGATTGAAGTTCAAGCCTCCATGATACAACCGCATGGGGAGGAAGCTGCGGCCGAAATCTCAAACAGGCCGCGTTGAACCACAACGGGACCATATTCGGGTCCACCCAACGACGACGATCTGAGCCACTGAGGCCTACTCACGGGAATCCATCCGAATCGCTCGCACCACGCGTGAGCTTCTCAAACGTTTTGTGGCGGCGTACCACGCATTCATCGACATGGCCCCTGGGCGTCCATGGTGTGTTGAGCTGGTCCAAGGCCCAGCTCAGAACAAGGGAGTTATGAAACTCAGATCGGAGTAGATTGGTACTTTGTTTCAGTGTAGCACTGAAAGCAAGAAGGAAAGAGCGCGAGAGAAGGGGAGGCTCAAGATGATTCCAGCAGAGGTATCGCTGAGGGCCGTTCCGGCCATGAAGGCCATTCCTGTGCTTGACACTTGATGGGCTCCTAAAGGCATGTGAGTTGTGCTTTTTTCCTGGAACACGGCGCTACATACATGTTAGGGGGAACTCTTTTCATGGTTGCGAAAGCATTTCTTCACGTGTTCATCATGTGCAAAGGCTTGCGTAGCCATTTCGCGTAGAATCTATATAATGTGTTTCTTTGCGAAGGCGTTTGCGAAGGCTGTGTTTTTCATACATGTACGTTGTAGTAGAATGAAGCTAACATAAAACCCTGCGAAGCCTTTCGCGAAAGCACCTCTTACATACAACATCGTACAGCACCTTCGCATAGGCAAATTCGCTTGGGGAGAGAGATTGTCGAAAGCTTCGCGAAGGCTTCCACATTGTGGGAAGCCCACGATCGGACGCCCATGACACTGTTTCTCAAACGTAATCTATAGTGTGTATAGATCCATCGCCCTGGGAAGGGTTATAGCATTGAGATTCTAACTTTTTGCCCACTGATAAATCATTCATCTCAACCACAGCCAAAAGTTGAAGCACTTCCATCATGCGTCTCTCCGATTCCTCCAAACTTCCCTTCGCTTGGATTTGTGCCGGGTTTTTGATTTCATTTGGGGGAGACTGACTGAGGAAGAGAATGGGACGCCTGCTCACAAGGGCAGTCTCCGGAAATTGCCTTCGGCGGCCTTGCTGACCGAAGATCTCATGACCGACATCAACATCAGCAAGGCAAGACGATACGAGATGACATTTACGACCCTTCATGAAGCGGTGGTGTAAAGACATGTGCAAATCACCACTATAGTGATACCGAGCCAATGAATCATGGGAACAGGTGCAGACCTTTGGAAGGTCAACCCATGCTGACAGCGACTGGAGTGAAAATCCGTGTTCGCAGTTGGGATGCTGAGGATGGACCTTGGCAGTTGCTTCTGGAACATCCCATCAACAATAACTCCCTGATTTTGTCAAACATTGAGTGTGCCGCACTGCCTTGTCAGCCATCCCGAGAAGAAAGAAGCAAGCAGCCAACCACCCACCGATCGTTTCACTGAACGGCGACGGACCACTGTTGCTCGGACATTGACACGTGGCAAGGAGCTTTTCTTGCTGGTCATTCAGGACAAGAAGATCCAACGGCTAATGGATGAACTGGACCTACCACCCGACCGTGCCAATTTGCCACATGACTGATGTGGTGGTGTTGATCTTTCTTTCCTGAAAATTAGACACTCCAATGGCTCATAAGCAATCGCCAGATTTGTTTTGCATGTTGACTTGGGATTGTTCGACTCCCAGGGCTTCTGACCATTTCTGATCCACGATGTCTAAAGTCTCAAGATGCTAATATAAGCAAATTGAGACTTGGCTTGGAAGTGGCGACTATTGCATACTCCAGTGACCTTTTGATCCCCTGGTGGTTTGGGAGCTGACATCCCTTAGGCCCACTCCAAAGAGGTCGGGACGGTGGCTAGTGACCGTCCCAGGAGTCATGTTGGTTCAATGTATTTGTATGTATTTGTAGTTGTACTGACAAGGATACAAGGATGTTTGTATATGTTTGGTTGAATGTATTGTTAGTATGTTTTTTTCTGATTGGTTCATATGTTGTTTTTCAATCAGGATGTTTGATGTCCAGTTGTTTTCCAGGCTTGCCTAGCCGGCCCTTACCCCGCCCTCACTATCCCTCACCACCCTTTTCTTCGACATGCCAAGCCTTGGCGAGTCCCCTCCATGCATCACTGCAAGGGCTTCCAGATGTAAATTTAGGGTGTTTTTGGTTTTTGATTGCCACGGGACTCCATACAAATCAGGAGATCCGTACTTCCAACAAAACACCACTGGAGGACAGCCCATGAACTGCAGACCCAGCTAGCAGCGCTTGCAGATAGCCGCTAGCCAGCTTTGGGGTTGTGCACTGCCCTTCACACAGATCGGCTTGAGTAGATGAACGTTTCGGAGGATGCCTGAGGATTCTAAGCTGCCATTTCTGGAGGTGCCTTTATGCCAAAAAAAGTTTTCTCATGAGGCCGGATTCAGTGTTCTCTTTGTGAGTGCTGTATCACCACCACACCGGTTGGCTCGCTGATCGCAGCTCCGGCGCTGCTCGTCACCGGCTTCAGGTTTGAAGTCATCGTGTCTCGGGTCGCAGGAAGCTGCGAAGCCAAGAAGCGACGGTGTCGGGCGACCCCCCTTTTGAAGAACCAAAAGATTGGCTGCGAAACATATTGGATGTCAGGAGCGAGTTCAAATTGGCACAGATAGTCAGATAGTGATAGTGTAATTTTGCCTCATGTGCACATTCCAAATGCCAGTAAATGAGTGGCAGGGAGAGGGATGCATTAGGTGGCTGCATATGTTCTAGGTTGGCGGTGAGACTTGTTCAGTTTTGCTTGTAATTCTCGGGCTCACAAGATTTGAGACGACTTGAGACATCTTGAGACAATTTGTTTATATGCGTGTTTTATATTTAAGTCTAACCGCACCTCTGAATGGCATTGAGTTGCTACCTTATCATGTGTTCTTCATCAAACTGAAATGGCACCTCGCCTTACCTAGTCTTGCTTCTAACGTCAGTGACAGAAGATGAAGGGGGTGTTGTGGAAGTTCTACATGTAGAGGTGTTCATTTGCTTGACATCTAACTCAACCTCCTCCAGATGAAACGCCACAAACCAATCCCTGCAAGCATAAACAGGCTGACGAAGGCAAAGGCCCGGAATCAGGAATGGCTGAATAGCTTTTCTATAGTAGTGGATCGTCAATCTTGCCCCGCATCCAATGCCAGTAACATCAAAAACACAACACTTATAATGTTTGGTTGATATCGGGTCGTCGTTCGCCAAGTTTTGACATGCGCCGATGCGCTGGTCCTTTTGCGGGGATGCATATGTCCATACAGATCGAGTTCCGATTCTTGGATTTCGGTGCTCACCTTGACCCCAAAAGCGTGGACCATGAGGCAAGCGCCCATGGCGCGCGTTCGAGCCAAACGCATCCTACACAACCTAGGATGCTGATGGTAGTGGGACCTTGGAAATGGCCGAGCTCTTACATGGCTTGCTGAAGATACGCGGCCACTGGCTCGCAGGATTTCGGACAGGTTGGATGGTGCGACTGTGACACAAGAGGTGGGCAGAATCTATATCTTGCTGATGAGCCTAAAGTCTTGTTGGAGCGATTTAAATTACCTCCAAGGCCCTAAAGCAATTACTGTAAACACCCGGCTTTTGCCCAGGAAAAGTCGTGCCCACCTCCGTGCTTCATGAAACACAGCTTTCCCTCGCCGGTCGACGGGGGCAGGCGGGATGGAGTGGACAACTAAGGTCGCTTGTGTTTGTGGGGCCACCACCTCCGGGGTCCACCTCAGACATGGAAATCAGATGAAGCCATTGAGCCAGTGACTCTCCTCCACAGCCAGAGCTGTATAATGTCAACACCGAATTAATAAACGGCGCCCCCCCAAGGTCAACAAGGTCAATAAGGTTTGAGATTGGAGGTATATGGAGACCACATCCCCTTATATAAAGGTTATGACCTTGTTGATATGATTCTGTGTGAACACTGAGGCCTGTGAGAGGGGTACCCTTTGTGAGCTAGAAAATGTTGTTAGAGTTTTGACGGAGTGTTGAACAAATTTTGCTAGAGAGGTTTTTAGGGATTGTGGAACAATGGATGCTGACCAGAAGGTATTGGATGCTGGGCCTTATGGTAAATAAACATACTGTAATTATGATATATTATAATAGTAAGCAATGTGTTTTTTTGTTGGCAGGGGCAGCTGGGCTTGATTAATAGGGGGAGGTTTCTGGTAGGGATACTAAACTATTAGGGTGATGTACATGTGGAATTCAGGCTTTAATTTTGTTTAGTATTGGGGGCTTGAGCTGGGCTTGATTAATAGGGGGTGGTTGCTTAATCCTGTTTTAATATGGGTTTGCCGGAGCCTTAGTAGCTCCAAGTCTTTGACGATCGCGTTTGCCTGCTGCTGCGATCTCGAACTGGACGCGGACCGTTTGGATGGCTTAGGTGAAGTGAACAAGAGTGACACCGTGGCGTGACTTGGTCCCAAAGGTCTCTCTTTGGAGTCGGAGTTGATCTCGGATTGATGGATTCAATAATCCGACGTTTATGGGAGCCAGTGTAGTTGCAAAAAGGAAGGCAAACATGTTGGGAGCCAAGCATGGCCAGTTGACCGATTTTGTGGACTTGTTGTTGTTGTGGCTGTGGTTGTGGTTGATGTTGTTGGTTGTTGATGGTTGTGGGTTGTGGGTTGTTGTTGTTGTTGTGGTGGTGGTGGTTGTGGTTGTTGCTGCTTTTGTTTTAAAGACCATATTAGATCCAGCTCCTTTGCCTTGCAGACGCTTGTGGTTCCTGTTTTTGCGGTTTGGGTTGGTTTCTGGTGTGGCGACCTGCACAGGTCCTACTTGGCCACCAAAGCGGTGCAGAATATGGTGAGCGAATTGAAGGAGGTGCAGATGAGACAGTGCGTTGACTTGCTTTAACTTGGGGTCGATGGCTCACTGAGAGGCATGGGTCAATAATAAACAAGGCCCAAATTTCCACGGGGAGCCATGTTTTATAATTTGTTTCTTTCCTAGGAGGTTTGAGAGGCTACAGTCTTGGACCCAAAGCCATATTGCTGAGCTGACGACCCTGAGGAATTCAAAACGACCAAAGACCGCTTCCATTTGACCATTTGACCGCCCGATCGAAGCAAGAACTAGAACTCGACCATACTTGGCTGTCCAGGAGACGACCAGGACCGTCAAGGAGATGAAAGCTAAGCTCTTTCAGCAGATGATGGGCTTGGAAAACAAGTTGGATGCCATGGAGGTCACCCTCAACCGATCCGACACCTCCTACATTGGCAGCAGCATCAACAAGTCCATTTCCTTTCCCAGTGCCGTGAGGTGCGAAGGGTGCGAAGCAAGCCGGTTTCGAATGCGGAGGCTGTGTGGGCCGTGTGCTGTAGCCAATGAAGTCCTCACAAGTCATCTAAGACTCTATTTCGAGTCGTCCTCCTTCATGGGCTTAACATGGTTTAACAAACGAAGACACCTCTCACAACTCCATTAATTAGATCCTAGCAAAAGGAACACCACTAGACGACAAGTGGCCCGAAAGCATTTTTCATCACGTAGGAAGTCAGAGTGTGAGTTTTCTGTTCTGTTAAGTGTTCGGTGTGAAGTGTTAAGTCGAGTGAGTTGAGGCAGTGTGTGGGTCTCTGTGTGTGTGTATCTATGTCTGTGTGTGTATGGGTCTCTGTGACTGTGTGTTAACACCTGTTCCTAAGGTTTGTGCCTAGTCGGTTTCTAGAGGGCTGGTTGCTCTTGGCCTTGCTACTAGGAACTAGAGGTTTCTAGAGCCCCAGAGCTCGCCACTACTTGAGCACGAAGAGGCAGGGATGCGGAAAAAGGCAGGGGCGTACGGCTCGTCATACCCACCCACCGTACGCAACGAAGCTACGGTATGACGAGGGAGGGGTGGACTGATCATCCACCTGTACCTGCTTAACTTTTAAGCTTTGCTGGAGCAGTCTTGCATAAACATTGTTCAACAATACAATTGCGCCGACTCTTTCACCTTTCCGTTCCATCGCCATTTTCTCCTGGGAATTGAGTTAACTGAAAACCAATGTCAGAGTGTGTGTGTGTGTGTCAACCTCTCAAGAGAGCCGGGTGGTCGGGAGACATGACTCAGCTGCAGGGGCGCCAGAGCAGCCGCGAGAGATGACTCATCCGCGTACTAAAGTTGTACTACAAAGTCGCCAGTTCTCATCTTCCAGCTCCCCAGATACTCCGCGTGCTAAAGTTGTACTACAAAGTCGCCAGTTCTCAGCTTCCAGCTCCACAGATTGCTCTGCGTACTAAAGTTGTACTACAAAGTCGCCAATTCTCATCTTCCAGCTCCCCAGATACTCCGCGTACTAAAGTTGTACTAGAAAGTCGCCAGTTCTCATCTTCCAGCTCTCCAGATACTCCGCGTACTAAAGTTGTACTACTCTCGCCTGGAATTCGCGCACTCGACACGCACGATCTCCGCAGAGGGTTGCGCGGGAACAGGTCAAATCGCACTCTCGCCTGCATTTCGCGCACTCGACACGCACGATCTCCGCAGAGGGTTGCGCGGGCACAGACCCAATCGCACTCTCGCCTGCAGTTCGCGCACTCGACACGCACGATCTCCGCAGAGGGTTGCATTTTCGGTTGACGCTGTTAGTCCCACCCTCCGCCTTTAAGAGAGAATTTATAAAGTGGGGAAATGTTTTTCATTTTGCACTTGCATCCTTTCACGTGGATACTTGCCGTTGGATGCTTTCACTCTTCCACTTACACTGGGGTACGTATAAAAGTGTAAGTGTTCATGTTCATGTTCAAGTGTAGGTGTGAAAGCGTCAGCGTTCAAGTGTACGTGTCGAAGTGTCAGTGTTCAAGTGCAAGTGTGGAAGTGTCAGTGTGTGAGTGTGAGTGTAGAAGTGTCAGTGCTCAAGAGATTTTCCGGAAGAACCCTTCGCAATGCTTTCGGGAAATAGATCCTAGCAAAAGGAACACCAAAATCCATGCTGGCGGCCAGTTGGAGGGTCCCATGGTTCGGGATCTTCAAAGCCACTATGGGACCAGTGTAATATTTATTTTATTGCTATCCTGGCTATCAAGCTTGCTGCTTAGCAGGGAACGGAGCACGAGGAGCACCCCGAGCATGTATCGAGAGTCTTGGCAAGCGAACGGTTTGGTTTCACCATATTTCACCTCCCCAGCTCCCAATGCAGGCGCCGTCCCACACGTTAGAGGCGCCTGACTGCATGGCCTTGGAGCCATCGACTGGCTGGGAATTACATCGGACTAGAATGGGATACTGTTTTTCGATTTGAAGAGGGACAGTTGGTGTTCTTGGAGCGTTCTTGGATTCCTAATAGATTGAAGACCACACCGTGGACTGGTCCACAATCAATTCGTGTGACTATTACTTGAGCCAAGGTGTTGGATACATAGAGGGGCCATCAATCGACATTTGGGCCAAGAGCGCGCAAAAACGCCCGGCCGAGGCGCTAGGTCTTTGGGTTTGCAACTCTAAGTAGCTGAGATTTAGATGCCAGCCAGCCTGTGCTGAAGCTGACTTTGTGAAGCTCTTGGTTGCAAAATGTTCTCCCTGATTATTAGGCCACGGCTTGCTATGTTTTACCGCAAATCCGGCAAATAGGACGGCCTGTACAATGGGGAAAGAATTGCATATTACAAAATAAATGCGAGTGTCTACCAACCATCCTGAATTCTTAAACTTAGTGTTTCTTGACAGCGAGGTCTAAACTTACTTTTGCATTGGAACCCTGAATCGAATGGCTTGTATAGAGGGAAATCATCTCCTACCTGTCAACGATACTGCTCAGTTCATTCTTTTCACCGGCTAGTACCACAAAATGCAACAATAAGACAGGCCCAACCGCCCAACCATGACATCATTCCTTTGAAAAAAGTGCACCGGTGTTTGGAATGTTTCACCTCCGAAAGCAAACATGTGGTGCCCAATTCGGTGTTTCTTTTGGACCGACGCGGCCACCGGACCCGGACCGACGCGGTGGCCCGGTCCTGAGGAACCCCACAACCATCACACGAAGCCGCTGGGGGACATGACCCCCTCCGCAGCTTGGAGCAGAACCGTCTCAGCGATCAGGGCTAAATCGAGCGTCTCCAAGGGTGATGTTGTTCTTGCGGCTTGGATAGTGAATCAAGCTGCTGGCTACAGGGTCCTTGATTCAGAATGATAATGTCAATAAACACCACTATACCATTCACATCCACTGCTACATGTTGCTACCCTTGCGTTCTCATCGAATCCGCCGAAGCCCCACGCGCCATCCATGGAAGACGCGAGGTTCAACCTGGCATACTTGGGGACCTCGATGCGGAAGCGACCATGGATATGGACCCGTTGGACGAAGCGAGTAATGAATAGCGCCGTGTGGCGCCGTGTGTGCTTTTTTGTGCAAGGATTTTAGCCGTCCGATGGAGGGCATCGTCCCGAAAACAGATGGACAGAGAATGACAGATCGAAACAAATGTCCAGAGTAAGACTGGATTCCAATGAGTAGACCATGTATTCATTTTGTTGTAAGTCAATATCAATATTTGTGAATAGAAAATCAAAAGCAACACATGTTGAAACCTGCTTCCCTGGAACATACCTGGACTTCCCATATATATATAATATATCCTAGGGATCCAAACACCTTCTCAGAAGGTTATTGGAGACACTGTTATGTAGGTTTCAAGGGTCCAAGTCCCTTCTGAGAAGGTGCTTGGATCCCTGGGATACAGAAAAGTTATTGATCTTCAGGAAAATGATGCAACCAGGCGAGTGGCAGTTGGCTTTATGTACATGACATGACAGTTTCCAAAGATGAGGGCAGCCAAGTTTCGATTGGGTGGGTCGGTTGAGGGCTCAGATCAACATGTTTTCATTTGTTTTTGAAAACGTGTGGTCTATGGTGGTTTGCTTTCCCCTTTGGGTTCCAAGGACGGCCAAACCAAACTATGTAACTATTTCATGTATATATAAATATGTGTTGACTCATTATCCATTGTGTTCGATTTCATATGATTTCATTGAGCTTTGGTTTTAGAACAGGACCACCTTGCGCATTATTTTTATTAGCGCGCATGCCTGTAGAGCACGCACTCCACTTTTGATCCAGACGTTTTAGCAACCTGTCCCGCATTCCTATCAGTGGCAGCAGGTTGACAAGCGAAGTGGTTGTTTGCGTGCCGATTGCTTGGGTGATGTTTGAAACCAGCACCACATTAAGCTGAAACCTTCGTTCACATGCTCATGTCTTAAAGAAGGAAGGATGAGGGGATCTGTGCAGCCAATGAGCCTCATGGGTCTTCCTTGTTGTCACTAAATGATGTGTTTTGGGTTTTGTGTAGCGTGTGCTTCATTGTCAGATCGTCTTCAAGCTAGAACGGCCTGAAACACGTTTGTGAAACGGACAGAGCTGGGACCTGTTGGGCCTTGCACCAGTTTAAAAGTTTAAAACATTTCTGACGTGCACGTGTATCAAAATGGCGCCATTGGATGAGAGTTGAAACATGACCTCAACCACTCGGGGTGAGGATCCAGGTCGAAATTGCATGCTAAACATGCAAATAATTCCATTGATTTATGATTTTTGCTCGTGGCCTCAGCATTGGTGCTGCCAAACATGATCCTCACCCAGTGTCGCTCCACTCGAATGAGTCAAGCAAATGCCGCGCCAAAGAAAAACAAATTTTCAGCCTCTTGCACCTGTCGCGGCAAACTGCTTGCTGAGATTTGCTGAGCCTTGTTGTTTGCAGAGTTTGCAGCTATTCGATAGACCTATAGGAATTGCTAGGGCCGATTTACAACTAACTATTTGCTTCTTATTTGCTCTTTTACCGACCCACCCACGATGTCACAAACCAGATGCCTCTAGCAAACGTCGCTCACCTGCCGGAAGATTGATAAATAATTACTCATCTTGCACGCATCAAGGCTCGTGCTCGTCCTGATATCGTGACATCACCCCAGTGCATTTTCCCTTTTTCTCACCAACTCCAAGAACAGGAGAGTTATATAAAATTGAAGGGTAGGAGGCCATTGCTAGTAGGTTGGAGGCCATAGCTAGTAGGCTGGAGGTCATCTCTAGTAGGTTTGATATTGAAGGGAACGGAAGGCCAGTTCTGCGGGAGATGGGCTTTAGCAGCCTGGAAGTGCACTTTGGCAGGGTACAAGGGTTTCAATTCTGGACCACTCGATAGGGACCAAACTTGCTGCGGTAATTAGAGGTTGTTTTCTATTGCCAGATTTGCAGTTTGGTAGTCATTCTTTGCTTTTGTTTGGTAGTCTGGGGTGCTGCACAAGCACCTGGCGGCACTCTTGTCCGGGGTGCTATAGATTTGTTGATTTGCTCAGCTTGCAGCCATTTGCCTCGACGACCCCAGCTGCCCAAGTCGTCACAATAGCATCTTGCTGTTGCAATGAAACTGCCACCAACAGAAGATTGCGAATCGAGATGCCACATGTTTAGACGTGTAGAGCCGGACATTCCGAGGTTGCGTTTGTGGAATTCGCTCCATCCACGGCCGAAGACCTCAGGAGTTCTTTTTGATGGCACAAACCATCAATGTGTATGTCAGGTCATCCTGCATGTCCCTTTTTATGTGCTGTTGATCTATTACTCACATCCAAGACGCCCTTTTGAAGGATCCTTTGATGTTCTCGATTGAATTGAAACAAGATCGAACCAGAGAAAAATGACCAGTTTTTGCTGTTTAGTTTTGTTTTAACCCTCCTTAAAACTCATTGGGCACCTGGGTCCACCTGAGTTTCACCAGGCTGCTTGCAGCCTGCAATTTCGGAATAGGAATCAAATCAGATCAGGTTGCGAGACCGATGTGCTAGGGCGGCCGCGGCCTGGAGCCGAGAATCCAAGAGAGAGGGAAGAACGGCCAATTGTAAGGACTCACCCGGCGACCAGCCTCAGCCAATCTCCCAATTGTCATGCTCTTTGAGAACCAGGACGTTGGCAGGACGCTTCTACCAATTCATGTACTGGCACAATGTTTAGTGAAAGATGGCTGCCTGTGTGGCGCTAGTTGTGTAATTTTGCCCCACGCAAAGGGCTCGCAACAGATGTCAGCACCTGCTGCAAGCGATTCAGAAAAGCGTGCGTGCCAGTCCGGGGAGGGAATCGATTTGGGACGAGCGCAAAGCTTCTTTTCAAGTTACCATAGGGCCATAGGACGGGCGTCGTGGCATTCGTTTCATGACGTCGTTTCAGCCCCCTCACCTGCTGGGACGTGCACAACTTCGCATTTCGACATGCTCTTTCGGTCAACATCTCTTGCATAGTGTCTCATTCAATGAGGAAGTCCATTGAGAATGAAGTTGCACTTTTCCGGAGAAGGCTGCTAGGAGACCATATATATGATTATAAATTCTGAGATGTATGTATTTTCGCCCCCGTAAATTAAGATGCACCTCATGAATGCATGTTCCGCAGTGATCGTGGTTCTGAGCTTGGCCCCGGTGCATGTCCTGCACTAGGTGTGGTTGCTTCCCACGGTCAGAGAACGCTCTTTGCTTGTGCTGCCGGACCATCGGCCGACTTCGGGAGTTGGTAGAGGCTCCGCTTCTTTGCAGGGACCAGGCACCTGCAGCTACTGGATTTGGCGGAGCTTGCAGCTCCGAGGTTGGCTGCTGAGCGTGCGGCGGCAAATCCGCCTGGATTCAACTCGGATCCCCTTTCTTCGAGGCCGCCGGTTGTTGCACCTCCTGTTGAGCCAATTGCACCAGAAGCGGGACGCCGGAGTGCTCCTGAGGTCGGCGCAGTCAAGCGTGAGGGTGACATTGAGGAGAGCAAAGAGCCGCTAGCCGAGGTTCACGAGACCATCCAAGACGACGCACCAGCCCCCGTCGAGGAGGACAAGAAGGCAGGCATTGAGGAGAAGACAGCTCCTAACCGTAATCCGGGAGCAGAAAAGAAGAAGAGGAAGAGGCACCGGTCTTCAAAGAAGGCAGGTCAGGAAGAGAAGAAGCCTAAGCGAAAGAGGAAGGCAAAGCGTGAGGAGACAAAGGGTGTTGAGGAGCAGGAGTCCACTCAGAAGGAGGTTGCACAGGTCGAGAAGGAGCCCGATTGGTCGGGACTTGTTGAATCAGACCCAAGCTTCCTTGGACTTGCACCCATTCCCAAGGGAAGCGTCGCATCCCACTTCTCCCGGCTACCGCCACCTCCACCGGCACCAGTCCGATCAGGACCTGTGGAGCCCAGTTATCCTCCCCCGCACCAAGCGAGTGCAGTCCGGCCGAGGAGCCCTTCGAGGAGCCCATCCTGGACACTCCAACGACGCCCTAGGGGCACCAAGGGAGTCAAGCACCGTGAGCGAGGGTACAATTGGAGACGGTACTAAACAGAATGCCGCCCAAAGCAAAACCAAAGCCGAAGGCCCGTGTGAAGGCCAAAGCAAAACCCAAGGCTGCAGTCAGACGAATCCCACGACGAGGTGTTCTACGACGACCAGCAGTTGTTCCTCCGGTGGGTGTGGCTCCTGGGGATCGGGAGGCCTGGACGGATGGTGGACTTGCTTCATTGAGGGATGTTCCGCTCGAGCAGCTGGGCCGCGGTGTGAAGGTGATAGTGGTAGAGGGATCCTACTTCACAGCACCTTGTCAAGCAGCGGGGGTTGTGGACAGGGTCGAGATCGATTCCGGTCAAGTTCACCTTCACACCAACCTCTCGGGTACGAACAACGAGAACCTTCTCAAGTACGCCTCGGGGAAGCCCCGGGGGTTGGTCAGGATACATCGGTGCGATGCGCACTGTACAGGAGACCGAGTTGCCGAGGACTTGATCCATTGCGTGAAAGCCCGCCTGAGGAAGTCCGACGACTTGGAAGAGGGCTGGATCGACAATCTCGTCATAGTCGAGCCAGTCGACGACGATCTCAAGGACCTACTACGTGCCCGGGGAGAAGACCTACCAGCCGGCCGAGGAGCACCAGCAGTCGAGGCACGGGAGCGGGCCCGCTCCTTGGGAAAGAAGGACAAGAAGAAGAAGAAGAAGAAGGACAAGAAAAGTCGAAAGCGCAAGAAGGGCGACCTCAGCTCCGGGGACAAGAAGTCCAAGGAGAAGAAGGTTGTGAGAGCCAAGAAGGAGGACATTGCATCAGGGACTTCGTCTTCGGCTTCAAGCACGGTCGACCTGAGTGGGCGGAAGCCACGTTCGGCGTCCATCAAGCCTCTCAAGGCAGGCCTCGACCCGAAGGAGAAAGTCCGAAAGAAGGTTGCAAAGAGAGCTCGGCGCAAGGGCCGCAAGGCCAAGGACACCAAGTCGGGGTCCTCAGAGGAGAACTCATCGAGCGCTTCAAGCAGTCACGATGGGGAAGCTCTGGATTCAACCCTCTTCGACCCGGACACCAGGCTACAGAAGATCGCCG